TACTTCTAGTTACAATAATGATGTTTATAATTTCAGTAAACTTATTTTTTTTTTGTAATTTTGTCATTTCTCGTTACGAATAAGGAAGTAAAATTACTTATAATAATATGTTTAATAGAAAGCTATTATTCCATATTTACGATAATTTTTGTTAATAAAAATAAAAACTGAGGCAGCCCTAGGCTCAAGTCCCTGGTAATGTCATTTTAAATGCCGTGCTGTGCGTTGACTGTCATTTGATATGATTTACTTGTAGCTCGTAGACAATGCCTCATTGACTTTAACGTAATGTATGGTACGACAATTTATACAAGTACCGACTGAGATCTTCTCAGAAAGGGCAAATTGTTACTAAGATATGTGGAAAACTAAAAGCTATACGACTTTCCCATTTTTGAACTTTTACGATGTTGAAATATAATAATGGTAAACAAATATTGTAAACCTCGTCGCAAAATGGAAATGCAGTTGCCGACACATACGAAAGAGGAGCAGGGCATCCGTGGGCCCTATAAGGGAATCGTAACAAAGTAAAAATAGAAATAAATCAATCAGTCAGCGATGGCCGTGTCGCGATGCAGCTGCGATTCGAATAAAAATAAAAAAGTCAACGCACTCGGCGCGCATCGCCGTGACCTTGACACTGACGCCTGCGCGCTTCCATTTTCGTATAATAGGGTTTCACCAAAACTTGATTTCAATGTTGTTGAATGATACACATATTTTCTTAATAAGTCGTTTCCACGATATTTCTTATACATTAGGATTTGTTAATTACCTGTGAAGCGTAAACAATTTTTGTGAAAGCCATGTCTATTTGTCGGCCTAGTGGCTTCAGCGTGCGACTCTCATACCTGACGTCGTAGGTTCGATCCCCGGCTGAGCACCAATGGACTGTCTTTCTATCTGCGCATAAACCATTCGCTCGAACGGTGAAGGAAAATATCGTGAGGAAACCGGCTTGCCATAGACCCAAAAAGTCGACAGCACTGGAGGCTGACAATCTACTCGCCTATTGGATTGACAAATTATCATGAAACAGATTCAGAAATCTGAAGTCCAGACCTAAAAAGGTTGTAACGTCACTGATTTATTTATTTTTCATGTCTGTTTATTATGGTATTGTATTGCTTTCATGGATACCACGATGTCGTGTACTAAATAGACAATGTGGGCCTATTTATACTCGTCCCATCAAATAGCAATGCAGCGAAACGTCTGGATGCCGGCAAAACAAACATTATGTTTTAAATATAGCAGCGCACGCCGAGATAAATGCACTTTTTATATTCAAAGCTACGTTTCATTGTTTTATTTATATAGCTTTTAATAGTCCCGCTCAGTTATAACATAGCAATGTTTAATTATGGAAGTAGGCTTTCGAATGAAGACGGAGTAACGTTTACGTGCGAGATTTCGTTTCGCGTACCAATTAGTGTTTACGAGGAGAACCATAAACTTTCCCTGACTCCGTATCTCATATTAAGAGACACAAATCTGATGCGAGAAGACGAGTTAATTAAATTTCGGAATAATATAGCCGTAATTACGCTTATCCGAGGTAATTAGCGCCTTTTCCGCGACGCGGTGGTGTGCATCCATCCGACTGCGTCACGGCCCGCTTCCGCTGCCATTTGGTGCTTTTTGCTTAAATTCAGGTGCCATCTGCATGCTGATGGATGGCACATACGCTAGAAAGTGTCATGCTCCATTTTATTACTATTTTAGTTTGGCGTTTTCTATAAACGCTTCTTTGGTGGGTGAGTTTTAGTGATGACTTTTGGTTTATCACAATAATATTCAATTAATGTGCTTACTAATTGTGACTATGCAATGTATTAAAAATAATAACAAAAGAATTGATTTATTCCTTTAACTTTGTCCTCTTCGGTTTAAGTCAGGGCCATAACCTAACACCGAAGTAACCTTTAATAGAAATATGAATTGATAAGGTATCAGAGCAACGTCTGAGGCTGCGGTCGGCGACCCCGTGTAACGGCGCAGGCGCATGTTTCGCGTGAGGGCGATACTGCGCACGCGATATCTAGCCCACTCTATCCCATATGACGCTGACATGATTTATATTTTCAACATTAATCATATAACATACTTTACGTAAACAGAGCAGAGTCATATTTTTAAGCTTTTTGATACGACATCTGCAGTTACATTCATCTCATATAAGCCTGTCTTAGCGACACTAGAGTCATGTCTGAAGTAAGACTCGATCCATAATGTCAACGCGTTATTTCTTCTTTGGTTTGAGTAAAAACGAAAAGCTCGCGCTTGGCTGTTTGTGTTTGAAATCTCGCTGTGAGCATTATTTAAAAGCAGATCCAATTCGCTAATACGAATCCCGTTCTGTACACTCGACCGGTTTAACGAGATTAGCTTCCTACAAATTTCCTACATTTGTCACGTTTTGCATTGATATCTCTGCTAGATTTAGGCTTGTTAACTCTTAAATACTCTTTAAAAAACGCTTTTGGATATATAACATTCACAAAACAAGAAATTTAATCCGGTGGCGTCAAAGAACTCAGCCACGATCTCTAACGCATTCGATAAATTTATAAATAACTTATCGTTGCGATTCTGATTCAGTCGGTTATATTTAACATTAACTTGAACAAAACATTGTCAAGTTTTAAACGAACCGTCGAGTTTGTAAATTATATTGAAAAAATTGAAAAAACCAAAAAGCAACTATTTTAATTTTATTGTAAAACACATTTACTAGATATAATTGATATTTGCGTATTGACGTGAAATTTAGCAGGGCTTGCGATTCGGTGCGGTGGGGGGTCGCGGTCAACGCTCTGACCCCCCACTTTGCCCCCAGGCGTCTGTCAAAATCTGTGCATCTGCTGAATCACTGAGCCATGTGCGTTTTGTTTGAACCGAGTTACAAAATACACCTGCCGCTCCTTTCAAATGCTAAGCGAAGTTTAATATAAACTGAGTCCGAGATAATTTAGGAAATCACTTCTTAGCTATTATAAACAATGTCGACACAAAGAAGTGTAGAATAGAAAAGAGAGGTACCATTTAACTGTTTCACACAGAAACCAATAAATTTGTCCCAGTTATGCGACACCGTTACTCCATCTTCTCATAACAATGGCTAAGCGCACCTCCTTTTTAACCATTTATCCAAGAATATTCGTAGATTCGTGCGTGATCGTCAATAAATTTATTTAAAACACATTATTACTACTACTGTCACGCTCGACGGAACGGGTCAAAGACATATTTACTAGTGTTAATTTTCAAGCACTGTACAATGTACATGTTTATAGAACCCTGTTTTTAGAGATTGTTAAAAAGCGCTTTGCTCGACGTTACAGGAAGGTAGCGTCAGTGCTCTGATAAATTTATCATGATGAGTTGGGTGTGTCTAGGCCGCAGACGAAATAAAGCCGCAATTGACCTTCCGAATAACAATGGTGAAACCCACCTGGGCTCGTTTGATAGATCATCTCTTGTTCTATTATAAACACGTAAATAGGCAAAGCCGAGGGTAAATTTGGTTTGATAAAATACCTTATTCGGTTAAACTCGGGAGGTTACGGTTAGACGCCCGCAAAACATTAGGTACAAAAATTGTATTTTAATCCTGCCTAATCAAAATAACTATTTTCACCCTGATTAACTAGACATGAATACAAATTGTAGTATAGAAATAAATGTTGTTAAGTGCAGATATGACAATGTGAATGGCACATCTGCGGATATTGCGTGCGTTTAACTCTTTCTCTGTGTTATATTTCAAAATAAGACGACTCCAATATAAAATTAATATATGTTTCGTCTGACAAAATGACTTGCACGTGATATCGAATACTAAGAGATTCATTTTTTATGCTACCATAAGAAGTGGAAGACGCAGATTTGATTTTAGGTTTAGTTGTTGTTTAGTTTGATACATCAACATATTGAAAGATCAAACTCTTGATTTATATTTTCTTGAGAGAATGATTTTTCTTCCAACTATTAGGCGCAATGGTCTCTTCGAATGCCAGGGGAAATGTTGTAACCACCATAAAATCGATTGATTGCAGTATCTGTAGCGTTGTTGAGATAAACGTTATTTGAAAGTAGCCGTAACTGAGGAAAGAGCCGTTACAAGTCGGGATGACGAATCGTTTTCTGTTCACCTTTAGTACTTTCTAGGTTACCTAAATAAGCGTTTGAAACTATTGGTGCTAGACTCTATACAGTTATGTTTGTCGCAATAAATAGCACCTTAAACGGGTGTTAAATCTCAAAAAAATCAGTTGTATAAAGTTTGTAAATCTAGATTACCTACGCCTTGAACTGAAGCACGTCGTCTTTAACCAGAATCTCCGGTTTGAATCTAGCCATTACCTAAGCGCCTATTAACTCTAACTGGCGAACTGCTTCCGCATACGGTCTTATACGAAAGTGGTATATTTACGTTTAGTGGCGTTAGTTGGACCCGTTACGAGTTAGTAATAACACCAATTAGTAGTTAACATTCCTCGTAATGTCAGTTTTATGGTAATTCAGAAGATTGCAGTTCACTCGAGCATCCGTCGATACATTTAACTGTATCAGCCGTCTCGTATTGATCAATCTGTTTATAATAAGAGTATTATTTCATTGCAAAGCGAAATCGCATCTTAAATCACATGAGTCCTTGTAAGTAAACCGGAATGCAGTACAAAGACCAAATGAACCGTAAAAGCATGTCAGGCCTTTGTCTAGGCCCCGTCGACCGAGTCTAATTACGCATTTGCATATGTTATAATTTAGCCGTTTGGCAAAAGTTTACTCCTTACTTCACTTCATAGAGTTATTATGGGACGAATATTCGTGCTCCTTTGAATTATCTGCGTTGCGGAGAAACAACGGCATGGGGCAGTAATATTTGCGTATCTTAGGTAGTGTGCGTTAACCACTAAGCCACGGTGAATTAACTATCCAAATATACGACAGGTATATGCCCAGTATTAATAGCTAACGCTTTTGCAGACAAAATGAACGGCTTAAACGGTCACACAAACGGCGAGATGAACGGCGCCGGCGACATCATCACACAGAACCAACAGCGTGGCTGGTGGACTATCGGCCTGATCAACTCGCGATACCGGTACCTCACCGCGGAGACCTTTGGCTTCAAGATCAACGCCAACGGCACCAGCTTGAAGAAGAAGCAGATTTGGACCTTGGAGCCCGCTTCGGGGAGCGCTAACGACAGTGAGTTCATTTGTTTATTTATAAATGATATGTCTTGTTTGTAATTGAAATGTCTAAAAAGCAAAAAGTTTTAAATACAGTTATTGTTAATTACTCGAAGCAGCGACACTAATTGGGGCAAAAACTCAGCCCACCCTTTATTGGGGCAGTAATTGGATTATTTCGCTTGTTCCGCACTTTATTTACGAGTGACATCGTTCGAATATCTGAAATATTTTACAATGTTATTACAGTTTTGCGTTCCATCGCATTGTAGTTATCCCCCAGGCATTAGACCCGGACCGCGTTATAGAAAATCGTTGATGGAGTATTCTCGTGATACCGTTTTCTTGAACAAAAACAAACAAACTAGGAACACAAATTGAATAAAGTTTTTTTATAACAAAAAGGTACGCAAAGCTAATTAGGGTCTCAACAAATCGATTGAAATGTATATGGGAGACGGAAATCGAGTTATACGAAAACGTGTTTTAGGAGAAACGCGTTATACGGGGGTTTACTGTATAAGGGAAATAAATAAAACGATTGACTCATTTCAGAAAAGTGACCAACTTTAGGTGCTAATTCCAAAAAGCTAATTAAATTGTTAAATTAAAGAAAACAGTCGAATTGCGTCCAAAAACAAAACACGACATCGTAATTAAAACACCTTCAATTCAAAGGAAAGCCGAACAGAACATTTACGCGCATATGTAAAGTACCCTCGCGTAAAGCTGCGGTGCTAGAGGGAAGCACCCCACGGCCAAGGTCTAGCCAGACCCTCACCTGATCGATACGGACCTCCCTCCGACCCCCGCCTACCACCGCCCGGGTCCCTAACAACCGATCGACTCTTGTTTATTTGTTGAATTTAAGCTTTCTCTTTGACTTTTGCTCATTGGATGAACTACGTTTCAATTGAAAGCTCTCAGGGTGAAAAGGTTTTGTGTTGCTGTTTCGGAAATCGAACATAGCACCTCCGGGTTTAATGCATTCAATGAACTTTTAACTCTTAGCCACGACAAGACAAATTTGGTAAAACTAAAATTAATAGTTAAACACGTAAAAGTCAAAAGTCAAAAACCATTTATTCATGTAGGTAACACAATGTACACTTATGAACGTCAAAAAAAGAAATATACATTGCAATGCTTGCAAAAATGCTTCTAATTGCACATGTACCTACTGCCAGTTCTCAAATCGTAAAATATAGAGAAACAAAAAGCTAGTACTATTTAGTTCTGGACACAGGTTAGCAGAGATGAGGTAAAAGGTTTCAAGAATAAATGGTAAGCAATTCAACCCATGAAATGTCCGATAGGTGAATGGAAATCCAGTGGGTTCCCACGCAAAAGTAATGTTTATACAATCATGAGAAGCATGTTTACCTACAATGACAATGTTCGCGTTTTCACTGAGATTTTTATATCACAAACAGTCTCATAGTGTGGGGCAATAGGCCTAGGTTGGGAATTTGCGTATATTATTAACAATATATAGTAAACTTTGATAGCTTCAGAGTAACCAATGTACGAAATGTAAATGTCCGATAGTCACTCGAATGTAACAGCCGTTTAAAACAATTATTTATGATAACAAAAACTAAAAGACGTACTAAAAACGCTATTTATTCAAAGCTCGATCGTGGGCTGATCAATTTAAGAAAGCGTTGATAAGCGCCTACCTATATGGTCCCTAATCCGCATTGTAAAGGAATCTTTATGTTTACCGTAACTGTCATGTATGTTAGAATAAATAGATTGTAACATATTCTGTAGATAATGCGTTATATATGATGTGGTGTATTTTAATAAACAAATAAATGGTGCAGGCATGATCTACCTTCGCTCCCACCTGGACAAGTACCTTGCCGTGGACTCATTCGGGAACGTCACCTGTGAAGCTGATGAGAAGGAGCCCGGCAGCAAGTTTCAAATCAGGTAACAGCTTATTATTTAATTACTTGCCAATTAGGAAAATGATTAATGAATCGTGATCTGCCTTTAGAGTAGCTTAAAACTTTTCGTTTTCTCTGGAATCGAAACTAGGACGTTTGGCTATACTGCTGTGCAGATTGAGTCCGTGACCAAATGAAAAATATTATTGTTGTAACAGACACTTTCCATTCCCAATCTAGTAAAGTTTAGAAGTATTTGAATATTGTGTTAGGTTCAATATTAATTGTGGAATGATGTGAAATAAAATAGGCGTGCGTATTAGGCTGTTGTTCACTAAGAACTGCCTGATGAATCAAATTTTTGTAATACAATTGGACAGTATCAAAACCTTACAATGATCAATGCCAAAGCCAAAATAAAGTATGTCCCGTTTTATCGCGCCTCGCACATTAATCGTCTGTTGACTGCTGACGCCAGGATACAGAAAATAAATCTCACGCGACTGTTTCGCGAATACTAATCGCTGACTCACAGGATGTCACTTGAGGCTTTTGGCGTCTTCAAATATATTCTTTCGATATTACAATCAAAAGCTTATATGTATAACAATGTTTATGTTTGGTCTGTTAAGAGCCAAATATACTTACTAAACAAAATATATTATATAACTTTTTAAAATAAATGTTTTGTCACTCGCATCAGCACAAAGTATAAAACAATTGTCGACTGTCCTCAATCTTACCATAAACAATAACGAGTGGCGACACAAATGATATGTGCAGTTTGCACTTTGCTGAGCTCGTTAGTCCAAAACTAGGTCGAATCCTGGATATTTCATTAGATATTGTGAGTTAAAACATCGTTGAACAATTATATTTTGTCTGCTTGAAGTTAGTCTGACCGAGAAGAACCATTTATTTTAAGTAGCTTCCGCTGGCAGCATCGTAGCATAGATTTCGTGTATTTTGGCAAGACTTTTTAAATCAATTTGCGTAAAAGCGTAATTGATTATACACCTAAAAACTGCAATGGATTCAGTTTGTTTGACGCGGCGCGACGCGACCAGGGGTCATTATTTTCTAGATATTATAAGGAAACGTTTACAGAAATTTATTATCTCGCAATTGTTATGCTGCATAATATGTAAACAGAGCAACATAAATAAACGGTATCGATCTGATTGACGCACACTTCCTTCAGACATCTTAAGTGACTCATCTGCTGCATAAAATGTTGGGTGACTCAAATGTATTGTGTTTTGTTTAAAGGCTTCTTAACGTATAGAAAACTTAAACATCCATTTTGTTGAATATATCCCCAAAAGCCTTTGCAGGCAGAATATTGAGTTCACATCGAAACTGTCACCCTAAGCAGGCCTTTGCCTCCAGTATTTGTGTTTATCTTAGGCTATACGTGAAGTAGACAATGGGGGTACGGTAAAGGCAGGCAATCTACCTCTGCCTCATCGGAAGAGGGCTCCACGAAACAATCCCTTTTGTGCACAGGTCATTGACTTACACATTACAAAGCTCGTGTCATAATCAAACTGAGAGGGGCTAAAATAGAATATTAATGAGTGCTAACGCCGTCTTGAGGGATGCTCTTCATAATAATAGCTTAGAACAACAGGGGTGCGGCTATTTGCTTAGGCATTATGTATATCAGTGTATGCGACATGGGAGAGAAATGTAATAACTAATACCGCGAGTTATTGAAATAAAATAGTAAATAATTTTAATTCAAAAATAATTTATTCATATAGGTAACAAAATATACATTTATGAACGTCAAAAAATAAATATATATGAAATGCTCCTAATTTTACATTTACTGGCAGTTCTCAAATCAAGGGCGTAGAACGGAATAGAAGAACTGGCAATAAACTCTCGGCCACTCTTTTTAATCCCAAAGTTTTTTGTTTCGCACAATGTTTGTGAGGAGCTGAACCATTACACCATAATTGTATCTATACATCAAGGGCAAAACTCAAATTATTGTATACGAGTAGGTCATTAACGTTACAACAAATCAGCTGACTTCCCGGCTAATATGAATTTCGCACTGCTCGATTCGTTTTCAAGCAATGACAGGTGGTCCATGGCCTATAGCGTTTCCGGTTCAGTGGCCACGCGGTTACATCCGATGCGAATCAATTCAATGGGCTAATTAATAATTAGCGCGGTCAGTGCTTCAGAACGATAAACATCTTTACGTCGCTTGTGGTGGTCTGTCACTTCCCCTATTGAGATGACGTGTGGTAGACATTATTAGGAATATGCCTTAAAAAGGAATGCGGTATCACTACGCGGTAGACTATATACTTGACTCGGCTTTTATCTGTATACCTTCCTATATTTTTATTATTAAATATAGTCGAAGCGCAATTATAAGTTAATTTTGTAGAAGTGTTACACGCAAATTGCAATCTAAAATAATAGTAATTTCCTGGACATAAGAGTTTTATTTATTAACGTAAACCATGTTGAATGATGAATTTATTGAATATTTGTTTAATTGTTGCAGTGTCTCTGACGATGCGTCGGGTCGTTGGGCGCTGCGCAACGTGGAGAGAGGCTATTTCCTCGGCTCCAGTTCAGACAAGTTGACCTGCACTGCGAAGGTTCCAGGTGATGCAGAACTTTGGCATGTACATTTGGCTGCCAGACCACAGGTTAGTTGTCCAACTATTGGTTACTCCCAGTGCAAATACAATTTATAAATTGTCATTGTGTAAAGTGAAATACGGAAGAGGTATAGTTTTAGACATCTTTATAAAGTAGTTTATTCGCTATTAAAAAATAGTTTCACTTTCATTTAGAGAGGTGTTAAATTATGATTTATGATATTCGGAATTATATAAATATCAAATATTATGTTTTGCTATAAATAAACGCGATACCGTTTTTAGAAACGGGAAAATACTTTCTAATTTAATTGTCATTTGCTCAACTGAATATAATATGCGATCAAACAGTGTTCATAAATATCCATATAAATACAACACTGGCTCTGCCTAAAGAGTCTTGGCATCCGAAACGAGAATCTGATAAATCCTTTACAGAATTAAATCTTAGATGTCATTGATCTTGTCAATGTTATCAAGAATCTAATTAATTAAAAGACAATGATGGAGCACAGCTATATTTTAGCGTTTATATATCAATAAATGATTCTTGAAATCACATTTTATTCCTGTACATTGGTTTGACTGCTTCAATCCAATCTTAGAAGGTGCAGGAAGATCATGTAAATGTGTTTGCAGGTAAACCTGCGGTCGATCGGCCGTAAGCGATTCGCTCATTTGTCCGAAAGCCTGGACGAGATTCACGTCGACGCCAATGTTCCATGGGGTGAAGACACCCTCTTCACATTGGAATTCCGCGCTGATGAGGGTGGCAAGTACGCCTTGCACACCTGCAACAACAAGTACCTTAGCGCACCTGGAAAGGTACGTTATTCATAATAACTTTTTTAATTTTATAGACTAGGGGTCAAACGGGTAGGAAGCTCAGCTGATACCGTGTAGTGGTACCGCCGCCTATGGGCACTCAATGCCAGTGGATTCGCGAGATCGTTGCCGGCTTTTAAACTGTTACTTAATGTTAAAATTTCCAACATGATCCATCAAACATTGATAATAAGGAAACAAGTTTTCTTCTTTCGTGGTTCAATTGTACGAGTGTGTCGTTCCAGCTGCTGGATTCGTGCAGTGCGTCGTGCCTGTTTAGCGCGGAGTACCACGCGGGAGCCCTGGCGCTCCGAGACGCCGAGGGGGCTTACTTGGCGCCCATCGGGTCCAAGGCCGTGCTCAAGACGCGCTCTACTGCCGTCACCCGCGACGAGCTCTTCTCACTCGAAGACAGCCTGCCGCAGGCCGCCTTCGTGGCTGCCCTCAACGACAAATATGTCTCAGTTAAACAGGGTCAGTGTTCACTACTAGTACTGCACATTGACACTGAAATAATACATACGGTGTACGAAGAATAGGAATCCTTTTATGTCGGTTCAAAGCACATGAACCACTAGATGGCTAGATATAAATGGAAGTATCAAAATGCAACCAAGGAATATCTGAAGCGAATCCGAGTGTAATTTAATATAGTGATAACAAACAGAGTTAGACTATACAGTATAAAGTAGGCCTGAGCGAGAGCCTCGAAATTACGTTCTTGAAGTGCGATGTAATCATTATAGTTGCGTCAAAAGCGTAACCTTTAATCGAAACAACGCATCTCAAATGTTGCATGCATTAGAGCAGTAAGTCTTCCGTCGATCGGAAGTGAGTCGTCAATGAGATGCAACATCACGCATGCGCCAGCGCACACATTGTTCTCGACGCATTGTTCTTTTGACTAACGCATACATTTTATAGCGCCGTATACGAGAAAGTTCACCTATTTTGAATATCTTGAAACCGGATTATTTTTAACTGCATTTGTTAATAATATATCAGTTACAGTTAACTCTCGGCCGGTGTCGCCCAGCAATAACTGTAATATAATGAGATGCATTCATATGATTCGAGAAAACTGACACAACATTACTATTCGAATTTATAATTGATGATTTTATAAATTTACATTCACGGGCATTTTTCAATATCATCGCCATACCGTTATTTATTAATGCGTCACTAATAGCTTCAGGTTTATCTCACGTATTAGTAACATCATTATCGGAAAAATATTTACACGCTTTCATATGAATTATTTCGTCCGAGAAAATCTAGTCAGGCCAAGCTAAATTTAATGAGTACAGACGTAATCTCACTTAGCGAAGAGTAAAAAGTTGCAAAATATAACCATTTCTTAAGATAATTAATCAAAGTTAAATGCGGCAATCAGAGCGTCAGTCTGTCAGTGGTGCGATGGGATCAATCGGCGCGGGCGCAGGCATCCGTGCGGAGAAACCGTAGAAAGCCAGACACAATAGCGACGTTTTTGCGCGAATAACTGCGCGAACGCTGCCCGGTGGGAATCCTCTACAACAGATTTGTGTTTATCATTATAACCCCACTGTGTTGAGACCCACTTTTCTCACAAAAAATTACACTATGTACTCAAAATCCATATTTAATCTAAAATGACAGAATAATAACGAAATATCTAAAGAATTTTGTACCTCGACGAAAGATATGGGGCAGTAAAGTTGAATGTTTAGCTTTCAATAACATTTACGGTTATTCTATTGACATCTTAACTGAATGGTATAAGTGATCCTAAATTAACGATGTTTAGTCGAAGTAGGTTTTACCTATACCTCAATATATACGTACGAAGAAAAGTTAAATTGAAAAACAAATCGCATCTGATCTCACCAAACGAATACTTGCAGTGAGGTCATTTAAGCGCGCCACGCCCGAGTGAATCGCTTACAGAACGATTATCTCTTCTCACAGCCACTGAATCATTAATCGGCAATTACAGTAAAACAAGCGAAGCAATACGAAATGTCCATTCAAGTATGAGATGACTGGGAGAAATAGTTGCGAGTCTCATTTGGCGATTGGTGTATTTTCGGTCGCGGCAGGTAATATATCGGTTACGTTCCAGGCGTCGACGTGACGGCTAACCAAGACGAGATTTCCTCGCACGAGACCTTCCAGCTGGAGTTCGATTGGGCGACGAAGCGCTGGTACATCCGAACTATGCAGGACCGTTACTGGACTCTCGAGACCGGAGGCGGCATACAGGCCAGCGGAGACAACAAGTACGGACTTATTAGTTTAATTATTGTTTTCTTAAACATTGTACATGATTATTCATCAATTCAGGTGTACTATATATCAGGTGCAAACGATTACATTAGACATCTGGGTGATAAATAGGTGAACGGTTCGCAGGTCTTCGAACGCGCTGTTCGAGCTGGAATGGCAAGGAGGTGGCTCCGTGGCCTTCCGCGCCAACAACGGCAAGTACATCACGACCAAGAGATCGGGACATCTCTACGCCAACACGGATACCGTCGAAGACAACTGCAAATATTACTTCTACCTCATCAACAGGTGAGTTTCATTTTACTTTATCTCTTTCTTTCAAATCAATTGAACGGTCCGGGGAACTTGACTCAATAAATGTGTGGAACAGGCCGATCCTGGTGCTGAAGTGCGAGCAAGGCTTCGTGGGTCCGAAGGGAGTGCGCATGGAGTGCAACAAAGCCAACTACGAGACCATTCAGGTGGTGCGGGGACCCAAGGGAGCGGTCTACTTCAAAGGTGATCTCATCGCCAGTTACGTGAACTCTGGGAGATGTTCTACCGTTAATTTAACTATATACTTATATAAATATGTTCTTTCGACAGGATCTAACAACAAGTACTGGCACGCGGACAGCGAGGCCGTCACCTGCGATGCGGACGCGCCACAGGTGAGGGCCGCCGTCTTTTAGAACACAATCGTGTCTGATGTACGAACATTGATTGCATTTAAATCTTTTTTCAATTCGCAGGGATTCCATCTGGAGCTGCGTGAGCCGACCCGTTTGGCGATCCGGTCCGCGGAAGACGGGCGCTACCTGGCGGCCGTCAAGAACGGCAACTTCCGCCTCGCCTCCGCCGACCTCTCCTCCGCCACGCAGTGGGAGTACTAAGCGCCCGCCTCGACTCCCGGCCCCCGCCGGGGGATCGCGAGGGATCCTTTTGCGGGAGCCACGAAACCTTATATTCTTGGAAGTGTTTTTATTCTTTGTCGATACTCGAAAACTGCGTGTAAAATATTAATTAACGTTTTCAAACGTCAAAATACTCTTCCGATAGCTATTTAAATCTAAATTATTGAATATTAGTTAACGCGAGGCGCGAAACTTATTTAATTTCGAAGTACGGGTGCGCGGCCGAACGAGCCAAGCGGCCGATTTGCAAAACAATCCGCTGCGTCTGGGGAAGTTAAAAGTGAAACGGGAATGGCGGCGATGCGGGCGGCATCGTCGTTTCGCATTTCTCTAAGAAGTAAACTGAGCGCCTCTGCCCGGATGCATTTAGTATGATTAAGGTATATTTATCGCAGATTTGCGAATGTGATCGTATGGAAATATCGCTTGTCTAATTTTATTATTATAATTATAGAATATTTTATCGCTAGATCTGCCTTCGGGATCGCTTATGAATTATTTTTTGTTACGGGACGCTTAATTTATATTTGTGAATTCGGGATCACACATCCGAGAGTGGGCCCTCGTCTATCGGACGGTCCGAGCTGCTCCGGCGCACGAAGTCTGTCGTGACGTGTGTAATTAGTTAAGTTAACGTAAGCGACGTCGTAGATTTAAGGCAACCGCTCCGAGAGGAGAGGAGAGGTCCATTCCAAATTTTTACACGTGTTTTAGCCGATGCGAGACGTTATGGAATCTGAATATACGATGTGAATTACACTGATCCTACATTTAAAATATTTGTACGATAATGTCTTTTGTAAACTATTAAGTGAATAATAAATTATAATCATTTTGTGAAGTCTATTATTATTTCCACCTGAACCCTTTCCTCCTCATTGTATTCGAAGGACCACAGGCAAAGCATGTATAATTTGTCCAAAATAATATTAATCCAGAGGCGCTACAACTCAACTTTTATATCATAGACAAAGTAGGTGATCTGTCTTCTGTCGACGTGTCGTCGATTTACGGATTTGAAAACATAACGTCTTTCTTCACGTTGTTTACCTTCACCGTCACCGAGTTAGTGATGGGTAAGGACAAACGAAATTGTAGTGTTTGTACTTGCCGGGCTGTGTAGGACGTGCTGCGTCATGAATTTTCTTACGAAAAAAAAGATTATAGTTGCTTATTACATATATAAGGAAAAAGAAAATAGAAAAAAAGGGAAGAAAGGTTTTGGATAACACCCCTTTTAGAAAAAGAGGGGGGGAAAGGGCCGCCCCCCCCCCCCCAATCAAAAAAAAAAAAGAAGAGAAAAAAAAATTTTACAATTATTTTAGAATGCAAGAAAACTACATTCGACAACTTGCTCCAAAAATTATCCCAGGAACTAAAACATCAAGATACTTTTATGCGAGAGAGTATATCGCCCGCAGAAAGATTGGCTGTAACTCTGAGGTAAGTAGGTACAAAATTAAATGACATATTTTAGTTTAAAATTGTTTATTGCACACAAACAAAATTATTACATGTAATTGAATTTTAATAATTATTAATTTAAGAACAAGTAAATCAAAAAATACACTACGCTGAAAATGCTACTCAAGTGCGGTACTAAAATCGAATTCGTCTTCAATAGAAACTTGAGAATCTGCCGAGATACTTTCCGCATTTACACTATGTACAGATAATTGTGATTCGGGTCGGTAGTGGATTGGCTCTAAACCAGAACCGTGTCCAAAATCATGAGAAGACGTCTGTGGACGACTTATTCCATAGCTCGATCTAGCAGCTGTAGAATATCCATATGTTGACGATTGCGCATTTGAGGATGCTGTACCACTTAAATATCCTTGATGGCCTTGATCCCATTGGTTTCTTGATGTAGGTATATACTGAGTACACTGTCTTTGTTGAATATTTTTAATTATTGAAATTACTTGAAACTGAAAGTCTATCATATTTTCATCACTGAACTTGTCAACTGTATCAGCGATTCCCATAAAAAAGTTCATACTACGGCTTTTCTTTTTCTCATCTCGTTCTGCTGAATCCATAAACTTCATAAACCTAATGTCAACTTCACTTAGTTCATTTTTCTCTTTTTTTTTAGCCCTTTGCGTCTCACTCCGTTCAGTGTATCCCGAGCTTGATTGATTCGGGACTGCACTATCAAAATTTTCATTACTGAGGCTAGAATCATGAACATGTTCAGTCATGTTAGAATCGGTCTTGCGATGCTCAACATTTTTTTTTAGGAACATCATTTCATCATAGAACATATATTTTCTTATTTTTTTTGCTGAAGAACCAGACTTACATTCATTAATTTTTTTGTCATATTTTATCCAGCTATCTTTCATATTGGTCCACTTCTTCATCACCATTTTCCCTGAAAATAAATAAATAATAATTATTAAATTCAAAATTTATGAAAACCCCCGACCTAAACTGAATCGACCCCGACCTAAAATGGGGTTTTAGTATTTGAACCTGAACCGTTTTGTTTCATATTTCAGGTATCTAGCAACAGGAGATACCTTTACTGACCTATACTACAGCTATAGAATTGGAATAAAAACCATAAGTTGCATCGTACGTGAAGTATGCCACTACATTTGGTTAGAACTGTATAAAGAATATATGAAAATGCCATCTAAAGAAGACTGGCTACACATTGCAAGCAAATTTCAAGAATCTTCCAACTTCCCGCTGTGCTTAGGAGCGGTCGATGGAAAACACATCAGACTTATTAAGCCAATTGATAGTGGCTCGATGTTTTTAAATTACAAACATTTTTTTTCTATAGTTTTGATGGCAGTAGTAGATAGCGATTACAACTTTATATTTGTTGACGTTGGCGCCTACGGAAAGGAGTGTGATTCCAGTGTGTTTAAAGAGACCCCATTTTGGAAAAATTTAACAAACAACGGATTAAATCTACCCGATGCAACACGTTTGCCTGGAATTGACTACGATTTGCCATATGTGTTCGTTGCGGACGAAGCCTTTGCTTTGCATTATCACTTGCTTCGTCCATTTGGTGGTCATCAGCTTGATCAATTAAAACGTACATTTAACTACAGACTCACAAGAGCGCGAAGATTTGTTGAATGTGCGTTTGGCATTTTATCCAATAAATGGCGAATTTTTCACCGGCCAATGAATGTGTCCATCGATTTGGCAGTTGATATTGTGAAAACATGTTGTGTTTTGCAAAATTTTATACATAAGCAGGAAAACTTTCAGTTTCACAATGCGAGTGAAAATGAGTCCACCCTTGATTCAGAATCGGAACTAATCCAGTTACCTATCACGAATGCAGTTCGCGGAAGTTTGGCGGCTAATGAAGTTCGCAACAGATTTGCACAATATTTTGTATCTAACGAAGGTCGCCTCTCCTATCAAAACAACTATGCATAAGTAAAAAGTTAATAATTAAATATCTGTAACTTACCAAACTTGTTTTTCTCATCACCACTTAAATCTTCAAATGTGGGCTGGAAATGAATAAATATTTCTTTCCAGGAATCATATTTAAGCCGCTTATTTTTATAATCGTCGATGGTCTTATCCCATATTACAGGCCTTTCTTGAATCAACGTAATTAATAATTCTTGATTTATGTTCATTTTATAATAAAATCGCGAAACAGCGTATATAAGCGGTCACGAATCCGTGCGTACGTCCGGCACCGTCGACACACCCCGATAGACTGCCATACAACACTGGTGAAAATCACGCCGTGCGTAGACGCGGCGCGCCGAGGGGCAGTCACGGCGCACGAGTTAAGAGTACCAACCCTATTAATATATGCTTTGCTAGCACTAAGCCGAATGTAGGTCGTGCGTCAGCAACGACCAATACTTAGTAAGTAAATCTGAATGTATAAATGCACGAAGAAATAGATATTAAGTTGATTATTGTTTAGTTCTTAATTAAGTGCTGTCACTCTGTTGATTTAAATAAATTATTTTTAAACCAAAAGTCCGTTGCCGTTCCTTTACTGGCGCAGCCGGTAGGATCTCCATAAGTTGCCTGGAAGAAGTTATACCGCGTTTTTTTCGTGATCTAGTACCAACCGGGTAACGTACGTTTTAACGTTTTAACGGAGATCGCCGAACAAATAAATAAGTTAAGGACAGCACGGCATCGGTGGAAGAGCAGCCAAGAACTAGCAGTATCCCGGAGGAGCATGGTCAAGATAACAGGACTGTGAGTAAAACTTTTCACTTCCCGTGACTTTCCTTGTTTTCCTCTTGTATTAGTTATACGTTTATTTCGGATTGGAAAACGCCGGAAAAATATTTTTATTAAACAATCAAAATATTGTTAATAGAAGTTAGGTTTATACAATTATTTTATAGGTAAATTTTTTTTTTATATATTCAAAATGGAAAATATTGTAAGAGTACCTGTAGAAATGGTAAAAATTATTCCTGTTTTTGATGGTGATTCTAGATTATTACCATTATTCATTAAAAAATGCGAATATATTTTACAGACATTTCAAGGTGGCAATTTACAAAATGAATATCTGTTTCACGTAATTACTAGTCGATTATCCGGGGAAGCCGCAAGTCTAGTTGGGGAACGGGAACAAATAGATACTTGGGATAACCTTAAGTTATTATTAAGCCAACACTTTGGCGATCCAAGGTCAGAAGATTGTCTGGCTATGGAATTAGATTCCCTAAAAAAGGATAAGAACGAAAGTTATTTAGATTTCTGTCATCGTGTTCAACATTTAAGGAGTATTTTATTCTCCAAAATAAATGAAACCATTAACAACACCGAAATAAGACAGGCCAAACAAGCGATATATAATAATTCGGCATTAAACGTTTTCTTATTTAATTTACCAGCGTACCTTGTAAGATTAGTGAGATTACGTAATGTTACCACGCTGGAAGATGCTTTAAAAACCGTGTTGGAAGAACAAAATTTTCAAACGGTTTATGATAGTAAGAACCCAAGGTCCAATCAAAATTTTA